TGGGGCATTTGGGTCCCCATAAAGAGAGACACTAGACTGGCTCCAACAGTGCTACAGGCTCTGGGCCCTTTCACGTCTGTCACATGGCTCAGGGTGAACCTGCACTTGTCTGTTAAAACCACGGGACACCAGTGGTGGACCTGCCACTCCTGGTATTTTGTGATAAATGCCAGTTTCCTTAGGATACATTCACAGCAGCGGCCTGCTGCAGGTTATTTTGTAGCTCTGACAGTGCTCATCATGTTCCTCCGAAGGAGCAGATGCTGGTCCTGCTCATGGCTTCTGTATGTCCAGCTCTCCTCGAGTAATCACCTGTCCCCTGGACTCTCCTCCATGCTCTTAACGTTCTGGAAACAGCACATATTGATGTGCCATCTTGGCGCATCACCTCATGCTACCAGTAGTAACGCTGAGTCGAGCCTAATGCGACACTCGTGAAAAAACAGTCAGAAAAGATGAGGAGAGACAAATGTCAGCGACCTTCATCTGTAAAATCACTACTGTCGGCCCTCTGGACCTGTTGTTAATGTCAATGATACCAAAGCAGCTCAAGCTGATACTCAACTAACCAGACCAATATCCCAAAGGTTCAACTGTTGATGCTATACTCCTTTAAATTTTGGGATTAGTGTGCGTCACAAAAGCATAGAAGAAAAGCACAACAACAACAACAACGAGCCCAAATATCCAGAGACCCTCAGCTGGGTCACCGTCCCAGCAGCCAGACAGCAGAAACACATTCATGCACGTTCTGCATTTCTCTTTGACTGTACAGGACAAACACTGCACTGCTGTGACGGGGCTGCATAGCTTTACTCAGGGGTATTTCTGAGGCATAGCTCAGTGTGCATCAGTGTGCATCTGAATATCACCTGCGTCAGTTACTACAGTTGTGCATCAGGTTAAAAAGCTTCTTTGTCACACTGAAAACTGACTTTAGGTGTAACATACATCTTTAATACTCCTGCTTTGTCGTACACTCCTCAGCATCACAGAGTTGCATGAAAAGGCAACAGGCCTGATCTGTTCCTCGAGACGCTGAACAACCTGCCCGTCAGGTGACTCATCACTGCAGCATTCATGTTCCTGGGCTCACCTGTAGGACCCTACACACTAAACTGTGCTGTCATCAGCATTACAGCAACTGCTTTGTCACAGAAAAGCATCCTGGAAGCTTAGCATGGAGGCATGTGTCAGGACGGGATCTTTGATGGTTTCTGCAGCCTCGTGTTTGACCTGCAGTCTAAAAACAAGCTGCCTGTACTGAGTTTAATATCACGCACAGCCTGTATCATCCAGTCCTTTCTGTCAGTGAGCATGAACAGGTACACGCAGGTGAATTCAGCCCTGCGATGTGAACGCTGGCCCTCCAAACGACTGGAAACATGTAGTCACAGCTGGTTACACAACCTGACATTTTGCACAAGTGACACAACCAATAAGAAACATGCTGCTGTCACATGAAGCCTGTGATTTGACAGGACCTCAGCACAGATCTTCACCTAACAGCTGACACAACTACAAATCCTATCAGTGAGTGTACGTGTGCTGCTTGCATGCACGTCACCTCCGTAGGCCACAGTGCCTTGTGGGTCTGTGGTCAGACTCTGTCGCAGCTGCTTCTTCTTCTCTTCTGTGACATCCAAACCGAGGAAGGACAAGGCCTGAGAGAGACATGAAGCATGTGCTGTCATCAGACTGCACTCTGCACATCACAGTTTGTTCTCCAAGTAAAATTATATTTCATTACAAACATGAGCCTAAAGTTACTTCACAAAGCGTCTGCAGAGAGGACGCCTGAGCTACCAGGACAGGATGCAGTAGAAGAAAGTACAAAAACTGCCTACATACACTTTGAGTAATGTGTTTATAATGTGATTATAGAGTTCTTTAATTAGCAAATCCACCGTCGTCATAAAGCAGACACTGCTCTGTTCAACACGTGTGCAGGTGTGTAATTCCTCTGATTTCAGTAGAGTTTTGTACACTGCCTGTTCGTTTTCCTTTGCAGTGTTTAAACTCAGTGTGTCTCTGATCCCTGCATCAACACGCCCAAGCAAAATCAACCTAAATAACAGTAACAACTGTACAAAGAGGAAGATAGAAATCAGAGAGTCGTGAAGCTGAAGAGTCTGCTGACGGGGTAAAAATAATCCACATGCCTGTAAGAGGAAGATTAGTAAC